AAATCAGTTCAGAGTATGGTGCCTGTCTTCTGGTCCCTTGAAACAGAGAAGAGCTTCTCCGGCGAAATGATCCTCGAGAAGCAAGCCTTCACTCTCCCTTCTTGAGCCTCTGGTCCACTGAACCTCTCCCGATCTGCAGGACGCAGTGTCCGTTGCGTTGAGTTCCTTCGATACAGCTCTTGATTATGGAGTGGAAGTGGTGTGCGTATAATATGCGAGACAGGCGGGCTGCTGCTGAATTACGCGAGGACAAAATGCAGCCGCGACTGTGGCAAAACGTGTGAATTTGAGTGCGCACTCAGCCTGTCCTCAATTCATGAGGGCAATCCCCGTCGAGAATTCAACTACTTTCATGTTCTAGAACAGGCGGCTGAGCGCGACCAAGGAATCGAATTCTCCCCTTAGCAGCACCAGACGTGCCAGGGTACAAGCGAACTTGAACGCTTCTGTGAGTTGTCAGAAGATTGTAAGCCTACTTCCTTGAGATGCGTCTGACCTCCCGAACGCACGCATTCACTTGATTCCACGTTCCAGGCACGTCACTTCCCCTATAGCCGACAGAGAACGATGACTTACATAAAAAAAAGCGGACGAATTGGCCCAGACCATCATGCTCACGTGCTCTATGTGGAATGCTGTTTCGTGAGAAATATAATACTCCCGTGCACGGCCAGAAAGAGAACACAAACCGGATTATGGAAGCGCCGACTCGCTTCAGAAATGAGCGTCATTCCTCCCGTAAGTTTAGCGAAACAGAGTCGAAGCCATAGTGAAGATAGTCGTGGAGGCCATCGTGATGCCGCAGCTCGAAAGATGGCATCTTTACGAGGCACTCCTTCTGCGTCCGGGGCATTCTGCGCCAACATAAGTTCCGTGTGCCGAAGACAGAGTCTCTGTTTCCCGCTGTCTCTGCTCTGCGTCTATGTTTGTGAGCTCCCTCACATTGAGACTCGCCTCGTTTCGATGGCAGCGTTTTTGTCTCATGACACTCACTGTTATTGTTATTATTATTATTGCTTTCGGGAAAGCAAACAAGAGTCTCCGTCCCTTGAACACACAGTGCGCTTCTTCTGGACCGTCCAGATCCTTCCTCGCTAATAACATCTAAAAAGACGATCTATCCATCTATTTACGATTGATCTATTCATCAAGCCTCCTTTTTTACGTGCGTTTATTTTCTCTTCTTGGACTCGGCTCCTACACCCCGGATCGGAGCTGTTTCTGTCTTTCAATCATACTCAAGTCGACGCAGGCTAGCCATTTAAGCAAACGAGGATATGCGAGAAGGGCCTGCAATTCTGCTTTTGGTGGAATACTCTGATCCACCATGCTCGACATGAACATTTGTTTCGTCTGGTGTATAGACCGAGGGAAGTCATGAAAAATCCCCCTGTGGCTCCGCGTTCTTATCACTTCGTTTGGTCGGCTTACATGTTGCTCGCTCCGCTGCGGGATCTATTCGGCAATTCCGTAGACGAGCGCGACCGGATTCCCGATGAACCTAAGCATCATGCTGATAACGTGATGAAATTTTACAGCGATATTCATTACTGACTCAAGCACGAATGACTCTCATGGATACTCAGGCGCTCGGCCCGCGACCGATCATAAGGATTCCTACGTCGTTTGGAAATCGGTTCCGCGTTTTATCGGGGATCGCTGACAGGAACATAAGCCGCTCGGCCGAGCGTACGGCTAACGCGAGATAGCCGGTGGAAAATTAGGCAAAAACGCTGGAAGGGGGGAAAGGCTCCTCGCGAAGAATTCTATCCCTGCAAGCGGTTGGCTTCCGGGACATATATGTAGGTACATAATACGATACATACATCTGGATTACCTGCTTGTGCGCATATCACGCGCCTCAGCTGGCTTCGTTGAGAGTTTCAAGACCTTGATCGACATTCGCTGCTTGCGATCATGAAAGTACCCAGTCCAAGTCGCTCTTCTATCGGATACAGAGATCCGCTTGCCCGTGATACCTCCTAACTACAATTGAGAGCGCGAATCCGGAAAATCCGTACGTATTCTGTCCCGAGATACATGTTGATCATGTATCCTTCCCGAAATATTCAGCCGGGCCCCGGCGGACGCTAAGCTCGACAGCCGACTCTTCTCCGATCTCGTTGGATATTCTATGTGACCGCGAGCCGTATGGTGGCGGGGAAAGCCCCCGAGATATCAGAGGCTCATTACGAGCAATCCATGCTCGTTTCGAAAAACTCAGAAACTGCTTCGTTCGGCCGCCGTAAGTATTCATTTTCTCGAAGTAGGTCAGCCATCGGCCATTAGTCGCGGAGAACATTGTCGAGCGACTGTCCGGGCAGATCTCTACTACTTCTTTTTTTATTATCTCCACTTCATAGGTGGGTGTGCGACACTCATAATCTATTATCTATTATCGTTTAATCAGAACTTTCCCGTAGAACCAGGTGGCATCGACAGCTCTGCGAGCTTCGTAGCGTCGGAACGGCGCGACAGTGGAGAGAATCATTGCCTTACCCTTGGTTCTCGGGCCTCCAGTGCTCTCGTATGTCCCAGTCGGGGAGGGGGGTCTCGTCGAATGACAGAACATTCTCCGTATGCACTTTCGAATTCTGATTGCGGAGGGAGTTTTCGCGGAAAACAGGCCGGGAAGCTCTGTGACGAGGCGGACCCTGTCAAAGGGGAGCGATAAAGCGGCCGCGGAATAGCCCAGCGCTCGCAGCGGTCCGAAAATCGGATGCGGATTTATCCACACTTCTCCCTATCGATTTACCGGCCGTGAAGAAGCTCGCGATGTCGAATGACCATGGCGTCTCGGAGCGGACTATTAGAGCACTCCCGCTAGCCGAACTAACGGCGGTGTTCTCCGATGAGGCGATACGGACAGGAGGCTTCCCCGTTCTCCGAAGATTGAATCGGCTCCCACATGATCAGTTTCCGGCAAACCTTCCGCTCCCCCGCTATGCCCTCCCCTCGGAAACTCCGGTCCCCCATCGATGTTAATTATTGGCAGAAGTGACGCTGAACTCGGCAAGCGACGCAAACCCACGGGTCGACCTGTGTTATTCCTAAAATCGCGCCCCGATAAGCGACAGCAGATCTGTATTTACTCGGGACAGATGCAAGATTCATTAGGCAATGCTCCGGGCTAGAAAGGCTAGAGGAGAGTACAGGATGCCGTACAGGAGAGTTTATACGTGATGTAGAGTATCATTACGTCTATTTCTCCATCAACCCCTCGAGGCACGCCATAGCCGAGCGGAGTAGCTGTCGAACCCGAACGTTAGTTCAGCTGAGCAAGTCGATCGACCAGCGCACTATCAATAAAAGCTCACACGCATCTGTATCCATGAAATTCGATGATTGCAGCTCCGATGAGACAGTCGGAACTCCTATCCAACTCTACCTTGACAGAGATAGTCACTCACCTCTACTATTGCACTCGCGTCCGTTCAGCGGAGCGGCTCCGGGGCCGATCTCTCGCGTTGACCCGGTCCCATCAAATTTTCTGACTCCTCCGACCAGATCGGATAGCGATAATTCATCCCTCAGACTTCGGGAGGCTCATGATGCGGACTGGATCCAGATCAACTCGCTATTCCTGGTTCTCTTTGAGCGCTTGCAGAAGTGGATTGGGTAACACAGGCTTTTGTCTGACCACAATAGGATCCCTTACACCCAATATCTATTTATGACGATGGCTTGGAGTTTTTGTACGGAGAAAAATAAATCAGCCAACATCCACGTCCTGTTCACCGGACCACCCACTCGGTGAGGGGCTCGGATCCTCGACTCGATGAATCACAAGGAGGCGCCTCAAAGCCAAGCTATTATTGTTCCGATAAGACCTAGATGCACCAACGTGCGCTGCGTGGGCGCGCCCCGAGCTCAGCGTGATTCCAGCCGTCATCTGACACTTTCTCATAGTTTATCATCTTCCCTATTCCTTATAGATTTCCACCACTACATCGATGTATGTATAAGCGGTTCCGAGAGTCTCCGTGCGGGGAAATTGAACTTTTGTCATGAGATTTCACCCTGAGAGATGGTGCATGGGCCTAATGTGTCACCCGAACGGAATTCGATCCACAAACATGGCTGGCCCGCTATCTGAACCGTCTGCGTGAGACGAGCCCAGGAAATCAGGTCGATGAGCGAAAGTTGCGATAGGCGACCATCACAAGGAAAAATGACCCGTCAACATGTTGGTCGCCGGCAAAGCTAAGCATCACGTCGCGCTCGCGTGTGTACGAACAGAAAGCGCCGGATAACTGCGGCTGCGAGCACGTCAGACTTTCACGGAAGGGAGCCTATGGAGTCGGAGTAGTAAACAATTCATTGGTCGAGAAAAAGCAATTTATTACTTTCTGCGCATCAGTGGGCGCTCGAAGTCTCTGAACTCTGCTCGACTGGATGCGAGAACGTTGAGACTGTCGGAGTAATTTATTCCGCCTCAGGTTTCCGTGGGTCTCATGTGGCGGAGGGCAACAATGAAGCCCTAACGAGTTTTGTAATAAGCGCGGACGCAAAATTCATAGAACATTCGGCGACAATCTCGAAACGAAAGGCGATAGTTTAAAGTAGTCGGAGGTGACTGCTGCCACCATCAGAAAATCGTGGACACAAGCAGGAAAGAAGGATTGGCCGCATCAACAACTCCTCCCATGATTGTCCGCTCTCTTATCGAGTTCGTTTGGATTGCGTTCGCGGTGGATGGGAACAGACTGGATCTCGAGTCTCATGAGAGAAGATGTCATTCACGGCCCCTGACGCTTCCATGGACGCGTCCGATGGGACACGCCGGGAATCAACCTCCAACCGGAGAAGCGTATCTGAACGGCTGTCCTTTCTCGGCAAGTCCGTACGAATGACTCTGCTATCGAGCTTGCGGGGCTGGATTGAAATGAGTATGTATAGCAGACTCCCTCCGGGAGGAACCATGAGCTCCGCAGAAGAACACAAATCGGATAAAAAGATGAGGGAAGGAGACCTATCCTCGGCTCAGCAATTAGACATTGTTATGCGCCTGTTACGCCATCGAAATTCGTATTCAGCGGAAAAAGTGGACCCTGTGCAGCGAGGTGCATTTTGTGCAACCTACAGAGAGGATCGTCACGCTCCACAGCCCGCACGAAAATCAGCTGCTTCGCTGAATGGCGATGAATGAAAAAGATTTGCACTGGATCTCCACGTCTCAATGTGTTCAGTGTATCTTCGAGCTTCGTTCCGAAGGCTTCGAACTCGATCTCTCCGAGTCCCTCATCTAGGCGTGCGTTTATCAGTACGGAACTCTTGACGTACTTCACCGGCGGAATCCTCTTTCTCTGTGAAAAGAGATCCCGATCGAGCGACTCCTCGTACGTTCTTGATGACCTCGATCAAGGCCGGGAACGATTTGCAGCGGAACTTACGCTTTCAAAAAATCCGAGAGCCTCATGGAGACGGTTATCTTCGAGAGCCATTGAAAAATTCTCAACTATTTTCGCTTTATATTCCGACCGGAATATCGACTTGTAAGGCAGTCGTTTCTGGATTCTGCTTCCCGATTCCTCCGCGTCAGACTCCGAGCTCCTGCAAGTCCAGAAATCAGGTGTCCCCGAACCGTGCTAGTGGCAATACAGGGTCTCATATCTTACGTATACATTCTGATGACTCGCCCATGGAGCTGGCATTCATTGACCATCCGTGCGGAGGAAGCTAATGAAGGCGACCAAATGAGGTCGAAGCCCTACCCGAGAATAGAATGTAGGGAACGCGGGTTCTTGGGGAGTGGAGGCATCAAATTACGAGCGAAGTCCTCGGCGCCGATTCTCGAAGTTGAATTATTGCTCTTCGATTCGTTCGCTCTCTTCATCATGGCGAGATGCTCACCTCTGCTGCACATTCCTCCCGAGGGTATCCAAGCTGGAAAAATTCAATTCCTGTATTAGGAGAATCTCAATTATTCGCCCGAATTCCATTCCAGCCTCGAGACAGAAGACCTGGTGTGACTCTGGAAATAATTGCAAGAAACATTCCTTGTCCGCTGAGTTTCTGCCACGTACAAAGCCTGAGCAAGATGTCACCAGCACCGCGCGATAATCTACGATCCCAAGCAATAATTATTTTTCGATCTCGTGATTGCAGACTCGACTGCGCGTAATTATTTCGACACGCAAGCGAGGCAGACTCTAGACTACGAGGCTCTCCTCCCGAACCAGACGGGAGCGGACGGATACTGACTCCACAGACAGGACGGATACTGACGAACTTCGCCTCCGCATTTTTCTCATCGATTGCGACAGGAACACCACCTAAGCAACGCATTCTTTCTCGCCCGGAGCAATTATAATTCCACTGCTTGCCTAAAACACCCTCGAAGCACAAGAAGCTCCGCGATTTCCCACCGAGTGTAGATTGGCACCGCCGAGATGGAGCCGCAATACAAACAGCAGACTTCGAAGCGCACATCCATCATCTAACATCAGCATGGCGACATTACGTCGCTCGGGACATCATAGAGGGACCAGTGGGGATATGCGGATTTATTGTAGCAATTCATCGCAGACGCTCAAACCCGATTGCTGAATCGATACAAACTCGATATTTGAATCGTTGGCGAGAACGTAGTTCAGCGAAGACGCCCATCCGTCAAGGACCCCGGAGCCTGAATGGGCATGAGCCACAGAGTCCGACTGAGAGACCCTCGGTGTGCGGAGCAGTCGGCTAATTTACTCGATGGGATTCCGCGACGGATATTGACTTTCCAGTCGAGGATCTCCGGCTGCTATTATCTTTTCAGCCCCATATTGAGAAACGCTCAAAATCTCTAATGAGCTCGGCAGAGCTGAGGGGTTGATGCGAATCGGGGGTTGCGAATGCTCCAGGAATCGAAAATCTCCGAGGGCTCCCACCGTTAGGCCTGGCCTTGAACAACGACGGATATCACGAACGTGAGGGATATTTGTTCAGTTTCACATGAAACCATGGGCTTAGTGGACCCATTCAAGGACCCGGAGGATCGATCCCCGAACGAAAAACGAGAGAAGCAGAAATTGAGGATTAAGGATCTTCGACAGCAGGGGAGGCACGTATTCGCGATGGAGATCCCGGAGTAGATACTTCTTTACGAGCGAAAAAAGTTAATTATTGTCTTGGCTGGTGGGTATATCCGCTTGTTTTCGTTGACCTTAATCTCCAAACTCGGCCATTGATTTGAATTCAACGACGATCGGGAGGACAGTCAAAGTAAGGGCTCCTAATCGCTGCCGAAGAGAAGAGCTTGGGCCTATTTTCAGCAGAACGAGAATACCAGAAATGCGCCGAAACATCCGTGAGGGAGGGCAGAAGAGCATGAGTCGATCCGGGCTGCCATCCTCGGCTCCCTAATCTGCTGTTATCAAGTAACATGCTCTTTCCGGGCGGGGGAGGCCGTAGGTCTTATTGTATTAGAGCACAAAAGTTCTGCGGGGTACGAGGTTAGAGCGGAAGATTCCTGCGTAATGGGCCACAATGTCTGTCACCGTGCCGAACCAGACAGAGAGAGTCGCTGCCTACTCCGAAGTAAAACCATATTCCACGAGCTGACAGCTCCTTTCTCCATTATAAGCGGATCGCTGACCAAGTCTCTCACAAAGGACGCGCTTGATTCTGGAAGCGTCCCGGCTCGAGGGCGGTCGTTGCGCTTTACTGCGGATCATATTCTGATGTATTTCGTTCCGAACCCCATCTCCCTGTGCATCTTACGGCGAGATAGACAGGAGAGCCTTCCTTCAGAGAGGGAGCTGCGGGGCGACGTAGTCATTACAACGCCATCGAAGCGATAGACGCGAATCGGACTTCCGACTCCTGGGATTGATCTGGACCAGGATGAGGAGTCACGTTTCTACATGTGTACACGAAAGATACACTTTGATCGATTGCTCGTACGAAGAATCCGACGTGTTCGAGGAACGAGTGTCATACTCTGATCGATCCGATGACACGATTGCCGAAGGCCCCGTTCCCTGAGGAGGTGGTCGTCTTCGAGCTCCAGATTAATAGCTCTAGGTAGGCTCCCCGCGGTAGGTTCCACATCATTCTGTCGAAGAGAAGCGGAATATAGATCCAGTCCTGTCTCATAAGGTTATATGCCGGTTATAACGGAGGGGTTGACTGGTAAGGAGGTCTATCACGCCGCAAAGATGTCGCCCGTTCGTGCTGATAACGTAAATGATCTTCCAATATTTGTCCAAATTCATACCTCCCGGAACCAAGCATCATATATGCCTTCAGACGGTAAAGACCTGCAATCTATTGAGAATCTTGGCAACGGGGCTCATCGTGATGGTGAGTCCTTCTTATCCACGAGTCACGAGGGCCGCCTATCGGGATTTCTCAAAATCTTCCTGGAAAGTTTTCCCCGAGAGTGAGCGAAGGACTTCGAAACAACGACAAGAATCCCCACACTTGAGCTGCCATTGATTCGAATGATCAGTCGCTGGCATCCGATGAAGATTCGCGGTGGAAAACCCCAATACAGAAAATCGACAAGCCATTCCACATACGCTACCGATGTGTTGACAGCAACTCCATTTGAGAAACTAGCGCCGGGGATCGGTGTATCCCAGCCCGCATCCGCTGCCCAGGCTCGCAGGGGGAAAGGAGTTGATTGATTCAAGGAAGACGCAGTTGAACCCATGCGAGGCTTTTTCTCGCACTAATGGAATCTTCCTGGATCCTTGGCAGCCGCGATGCTGCGCTCCTCCGGATGCGCGGAGCGGACTCCATCGTCGGCACTGTATTTAGCATTCGGCGCATTCATGCCACCGAATCGGGTGTTTCCGACCTCAAGCATGCGTCCCACCAAACACTCGTGGCGAAGAATTCCGGCGGACGAATTCTTGCCACGAGCCGCCCCCAATAAGCAGCTCTTTCGGCGTAAGTCAAGTGGACTCCCATGCCGTGCATGCCTACCAGCTGCGTCGCCTGCTCTCGCGTTGCCCGGGGAGGTGACGCATGACGTATCCCATGTCTTCCATTCGCTCCCTCAGCGTCTGGGAATCGGTGCGGGAACCGCTTTATCCTTGTTGGAGAAGAGGTGCGCTGACGCCCTGTTGACGCTTTCCCGACCCTCGTGAGCTGCCGGGACTCTACTCTTCTCCTTGATGACTACCCCCCCCCCCCCGACGAGGTTCCCGGGGGGAGGACGGGGGGAGAAATAAGGCCGAATGAAAATCTAAAGTGTGTGAGCTTTTCGAATATTGGGAAAGTTCTGAGATCATTAAATCTGCACTTAGTCCATAAATTCCGCAGATATGAGCGGCGCGAGTACTTTCTGAACGTGCTCAGCATTTCAGAGGCATCGACCCAGCTCAAATTAATTCGGATGCAAGCAAAAGCGTCGCTAGCCGCATCATGTTCAGTGTATCGCGAAATCTAGACGCGAATATCTGTGACTGCGGGTTCTTTGTAGTGCCGCAGCGCAGACTTTCCGGCACGCTCGGGAGAAGCGCAGCCCTATACGCCTCTTTCGCTATCAGTCTTTGCTATCACCAGAGGCTCCGTGATGGATTTGCTGTTAGCGAGCCACTTCTCGGGCTTTCCACATTCACCCAAAATGTTGAACACTTTTCCAGCGCCATACAGCTTAATCGCATAGTGAAGCTAAGGAAGAGAGAGTCGGCGGCGGTCAGATCCGGCTCGACCTCGCAGAGTTGGCCAGATTCAGCCGGAAGCGTGGACTTTTCAAATAGACTAAGTGAGCTATTCGTAGGCTTTGGACGGTCGGTTAGCTGGTCAGTCAGCCAGTCGGTCAGCTGATCAGTGGCTGGCAGCTTTGCCGAGATCTAAGGGATCCACATATGAAAGGTTCTCTCAGAAGCGCAGCTTTCCCACCTAAATCACATGCGTCACTCAGAGAGATTGAGCGGTTGCCACACTTCATTTTTCCCTCCTCCCACGGACGACTACATATACTTCCTTGTTTAGATGCCGACTTCATTGCTTAGAGAAACATTGAAGGTCCAGAGGGCAGGTGCCGTCTCGCCGGCTCAGCCCCCGGAATCACATTTCGCTATCCGCCGCCATGAGAGATCTCCTAGTTTTCCGCTCGAGTCTCTGCAAAAGGATTCCTTCAGGCGAGATTCGCCCCCCTCTCCCCTCTCCTCCTGCAGTTTAGAGAGCTCGCCCCCTCATCCCAAGTGAGTGACCTTGGATGATCAGTACGAGGAAACTGTGGTCTGCCGAAGGTACCAGAGGCATCCGTCGATCGAGATTAGCACGCCATGACGCGACAAGACGGCTAACGATCCTTTCTGGTAATCTAACTCCGAAATTAGAAAACTTTCTCGACCTCGGAGCACGGGGATGAGCATGCAGGCCCCTATCACATATTTCGGGAGCAGCTATCGGAAGGGAGCGGGAAACTTAGCAATACTTATAAACACGGGACCGAATGATCCGATCTATCTTAGAGTTGGATCCTGAATGCGAATAGGTGTCAGGCGCCCTCAACTCAAACGCCGGCTGTGGCTCTTGGAGGTTTTCCGGATTGGAGACTCGGTCGCCGGTCGCCGCCACCGGGCTTCCGGTATTGAATGACCATCGAAGCCTCATATGTTAATGCAGCAACCCTGATTTATAGATCGCTTCAAGAACTCGTTCAATAGCCGGGAATCGATGACGGAGTGGCTTTCGCCTTCGGAGGTTATACGTGCTGTTCACAGACGCCCAGAAAATGCCGTACGATTCATCTCTCCGGGGAATTGATCGGTCACGGATTCGGTCATAGTAGGGTGTAGTAGGAGGAGATGTGCGGAAAGTCGTGCTCCCCTTTGATTCAACCCTGACTTAGAACGTAGGAATCAAATCTAGAAGGAATCCATAGGTCACATACTTGAGAAGGACGGTCTATTCCCGCTGTTACCGAGATATTGCGCTTTACATGGGGGGAACCCCCAATTTTTTATTCAGGGCGACAAAAAATTCGGGAGTCCACTTCAAGAATGTCTACATTTTGTCTCCAAGTAAGCTCTAGGATAATCGTAGACCGTCTAATTAGATGTAGAAAAGCCCCACGGATACGAGGCCACGAGTTTCGAGACGATCCGAGCAATGGTTACCGAGATATTGCGGTTTATATGGGGGGACTTCCAATTTTTCTCATATGGGGCGACCGAAAAATTCGGGAAAAATCATGCGTCTCTAAGAGGCCGATGATTCCACTGATAGACGGACAGCCAGTCGTGATTCCGTGAGCAGGACTCCTATATAATGTGCATGTACTCTCACAACTCTGGAGAGACAGAAACAATGTTCGCCCGCATTCTCTACGGCGTTGTACCGACATACGCTATCCGGGACGTTTGAAATCTCTCGACTTGGAGAATGTCCCCCATCCGCAACGTCCACCGATGCGTCATGTGT